TTCTACTAATTCAATGGAGTGAGAGTAGTTTTCAGTGATTCTTTTCTTGATGGAACTGAGATTGATTGGTGTAGAACAAAGATATACGTGGAAGTTTCTGTGCGTGAGTTTCTTGGCTAGCTCTAGGAAGGAAGAGATGTGACCATGGGCTAGCCATGGAAGCATTAGGACACTAGCAATGCTCTGTTTTGTGTACATTATTTATCTCTCTGCTTCGGGCCTCCGTTTTGGTGATTGATGATCAATACAATGCAACAATTGTTGTTTAGCTCAATGATATATATGTATGCGCGTTTTATAAGGATTGAGGTTTATGCAAGTAAAAACTAGAGGTGGTGCGTGAATCCAATCCGATAATATAAAAACTCAGAGGAATAGAGAAAAGGCTATGGTGTCAGTGCTTGCGTATGGACTTTTGCCACATATGAATGATCAATTTTTTTAGGGGGAATTTACTGATGAATGAAATGACAAAAATTATTTATAAAAAAATAATAAATATTAATAATTAAAATCATATTTTATATATTTTTTTGTAAATAATTTTTTCTGATTGTGTTAGATTCAAATTAATTAGGAAAAATCATAAGTTATCGTTTGGCAAAACATTTTTTAGTTTGCTTTTTGAAATTGAGACTTTTTTAGTCGGGAATTAAAAAGTTTATTTAAGTTGACTTTTTTTACTTTTGTGAAAAAATAAAATAATTATGATTTGAGTGAGACATTTTATCTTATTAATTTTTTAATTTATTTTGTTTTTTAGTGATTTATTTTCTCCAATCATGATTGCAAAACAAAACCTAAATAAGTGGGACATTAATAGAAAAATAATTACTTTATAGATTGTGTGTGTGTGTGTGTGTGAGAAAGGACTGTATCAAGCATATGAAGGACTTGTATCATTCCTAACTCGACCCCGCTACGTAACTCGAAAAAGTTTGGCTCGGATTTGGCTCGACACCAAAACGACGGTGTCTTTTTTTTTTTTTTTCCTTTTTGTTGCAAAAGGAAGAAGAAGAAGAAGAAGAAGAGAAGGAGAAGAGAAGGAAGGATGAGGAAGAAGGAGGAGGAGGACTGGAGGAGGCATAATCACAGGGGGAGGGGGAGGAGGAAGCGGAGGCGGAGGCGGGGCCGGAGGCGATGGCGGTAGTGCTGCGACGATCGGCGGCGGCGATGCGACGGCGGTGGTGCTGCGACGATCGCCTCTCCTCCTCTCTCTTTCTCCCTCTCTCCTCCTCTTTCTCTTTTCCTCTCTTCTTCCTCTCTTTTCTCCCTTTTTCTCCTCTGTCTCTGTCTTCGAATCCGAATTCGAGCCAAAATCTTCCACTTTTTTCGAGCTATCAGTCATTTTCGTTCCCAACTAATTCCCCAATTAACTACAAGCGCGAGTATTGTTACCAAAATATATATTTAAAAGTCTGCCCAATATGTGGTGTTTGGGATGTAAAGTTTTGGTTAAAATAATCAATAAAGACAAAAAATATATATGTTATATTTTATATATCAATCAATTAATTTTTCTCTCGCAACTATTTATATAACTAAAAAAAAAAAAATCATGCTTCATCCTAAACACACAACTTTTTTCATATGATAAAATAGCCAAATAACTAAAATAGTCAACATTCCAAACCAGCACTTAAATTCATTTTGTAAATAAATCTCACAAAATATCCACTTAATCTTTAATACACTTTCAAAATTTGGACAAATTTCTTGTTTTTTTAATTTTTAAATTTTTTTGAGATGGTAGCTTTTCTCATATATATGTATATATAAATATAATATAAAAAAAATAAAATTAAAAAAAAAGAAGAAGAAGAAGAAGAAGAAGAAAGAAAGATGTCCATCAATTTTGTTTTATTCTTGTTGACCTAATTTTTGGAGAAAAAAAAATGATAGTTTAGGGAGAACGAAAAATTACACAAATAAAAAAAAAATTTGATTATCTCAAGTTTAGAAAGAAATATTTTAATTTTTAATTTCTAATTATTTTTTTAAAAGAAAAAATTAGGGGTGCAACTTGGGCGGGTTCGCTCGGGCTGGAGGGTTGCGCAAGCCCAACTCAAATTGTGTTTGGCAGTGCCCAAACCCGTTCAAGCCCGACCATCAACCAGAGCTTGGCTGCCCAAGCTTGGATCAAGCTTTATAATCTGAACTCGGGTTAGCTCGACTTGTTCGAATTTCACAAGAAACATGATGATATTACAACAAGAAGCCATTTTTTATCCTTTCATATTGACAGGAGAAACTAGGAAAAAAACTTCAGCTAAACATCATCTATGTAGATGCATACCCTGATTAAGTATTGAACACCACAATCCAATAAGCAGTTAATTTCATCATTATTCGAACTCCCGCAAATGCAGCAGCATAATGCATTCAAATCTAAAATAGAGGACTGGCAATGATGCATTTCAGTAGATCTGAACCATAGCCCAAAATGATCAGCATCTTCATGATTAAACTATTGTAATTCATAGATGAAGGCTAAGATAAATATTTTGCTATTAGCCAGACTAGTAAAATATTAATCAAGATATAAGAGTATAATTGGATTGCTTACTTGGAATCCTTAAGAGCAGAATCATCTACACAGATGAAATCCTTCCTTGATCAAACTTAGTGGTCCTTGTTCCTCTCTCTGTCGTTCTTCAACTCTTTGAGGAAGAAATAAGAGTCTGAGACGCAGAGAGAGAAAAAAAGAATAGATAGGGTTTAGTATTTACTTCTAATGGTTCAAGCATAAGATTCTAATCTAAAGGCCAAAGCCTAGCAATAAAATAAAGTAAAATCTAAGGGCCACCTCTTTATACATATATTATATAATTTTTTTAATAATATATAAAATACAACTCAGGTTCGGGTTGTTTGGGTTACAAATGGCCTCCACCCAAGCTCGGCCCAAATTGCAATTCGAGCATCAAAAATTTGTCCAAGTCCACCCAAATTACAATATATTGTTGCCCAAGTCCTAAAAAAACTCGAATCGGGTACGAATTGCTCAGATTGAGCCCATCTAAGTTACACTCCTAGAAAAAAAAATAACACCAAACAGAACTCATTAACGATTCTGATGGAATAAATAATGGGTATGAACTATTACCACTAAATTAAATTATCAGACCATGAGTGAAGGATAAAATTAAAAAAAAAAAAAAAAAAAACAACTACGAGGAAAGCGCAAATCAATAAAAGGAGCTATTACAATCACTTTATTTGATTCTAATTTTTTGAATTTAATTTATTAAAAATTAATTTTTTGATTTTTTGTTTTTTGTGAAATTTTTTACTATTTTAATATTTTTTTACTTTTTAGATGTACTTAACCTAGATATACTTAAAGTAAAATATTTGTAAAAAAATATTTTTAAAAAATCAATAAATATACAAAAATATAAAAATATACTAAATTTTTGTATTTTTTTTTTTAGTTTTTTTTATATTTAGTGATTTTTAGAAAAAAATTACAAAAATTATAATTTACATTTATATTTATATTTATATTTATATTAAGTGTATCTAAAAAGTAAAAAATGTCCTAATTATTTATATCAAGGCCTCATTTGGGGACTACGGGATGGCTTGGAATGTTCTAAATAAGTATATTTTTTGACTTTTTATAATAAAAAAAATGTTCAGAAAAGTAGAGAAAGTGGGTAAAAAAATAGAGAAGAAATGTTGATAGATGTTAGTCAAATAAGTGTATACTTTTTTAGTACATACCAACACTTACTTTTATCTTAGTCAAAAAAATTATTATAAGTTATCATATAACTCTTTTTATTTTTTATATGTCTTTCTATAAAAAATTAAAAAATTACTAAAATAATCTGTTTGTTATGTTTAACAATTTGAATGTCATCTTCCATTTAGATCAAACATAATCAAAATGTGATAATTTAGGGACTAACATGATAAAATCTTTAAAAACTGTGATAATTTAGGGACTAACAAGATAAAATCTGTAGAAACTACATAAATAAATTGGTGACAGTTTAGGGGTAAAAGTGTTTTTTATCCTTCTAAAATAATCGAGAGGTAAGTTTGGCGAGAGAATGAGACGTCGCCGAGGAGTGAGCCAACGTCTTGGATTTGAGAAGCAGAAGTCTAGACTTGAAGGCAGAGAGAGAAAGGGGATCAGAGAAGACGAACCAAGAAGAAGAAGAGAGAAGACGAGCCAGAGAAGAATGGCAAGCCGTTCTCAGCGGCGAAACCAGGTTTATCTTCCAACTTACAATTGAAAAATTAACAGATTTGGGGGGTTTTTTTTTATTATTTGGATTTTTTGATAGAGAAGTTAGGTTAAAAACTGAAAAATTAGGGTTTTTGATTTAAGGCTTTTGATTGGTTTTTATGGTTCTCTTATATATAACTAGACCCTTTCATATGTTTAAGAGACTTGGTCAAAATTATCAGGTAAGAATTGCTTCCGATTTGGATTTTATTACACCAATTTTTTAATCGTACCCTCTTCAAAATTTCATAACAAAACAATTTTACTTGTAGTAACAAAGAATCAAATACTACAACCAATTGTCATTCTGACAAAACCCAACAGCAAACAAAATACTAAAAATTACTCAAACAAGTGAATTATTAATGAGTTAGGTAGGAATTCTCAATAATTTATCAAATTTTTTATCAAACTTCTCAAATAATGGGGATCTAGAAATTTGGTAAAAAATTTAGTAGATTATTAGAGACTCATAATATTTTTTTATTATTAACAGACTACATTTAATGTAGGTGTGGCTTACATCCCACAAAAATTCCATGGTACATAGCATTTTTGAACAGCAAAATCCATCTCCTACTTGAAAAGCACACACTAATGCTGTGTTTGGTTTTGGAGATTTGAGGAGGGATTGAGAAAGGGAAAGGAAAAAGTTAGGTCAAATGTGAATAAAATATAACTACATTTCACGTAGTTTCACACACCTTTTCCATTTCCCTTTCCAAATCCCTCCCCAAATCTTCCAACCAAACACAACATAAGGAGCATTAAAACAATAACCTTGGCTTCATACATACAAATAGAAAGGAAAACAAATTCAGAAAATAAGCAGTTCAAGTCATCCCTATATGGTATGTGGAAACATTTAGAAATGAAAATGGTTCTTAAAAATATAAAGCGACAAACCAGATCAAAGCATCTTTAAAGCTATTCCAATCTAATCTCCCAAATATTTCAACTTACAAAGTTGAAGCAACTCTTCAACCACCTCATCTATCTCTTCCTCTCCTTTCATTCTTATTTTCTCACTATATTCTCTTGCTTTAATTCTTATATCCTCCCCACTTTTCTCCACCACTACTGTTCTTATTACTTGTGCTATGTCTTCTCTATTGAGTCTGCCATTTATGCCTCTGTTGACCTCCACAGCCGCACCAATCTCCTCCACCAGTCTAGCATTAAATGGTTGGTCATAATGCATTGGCATGGCCACAATTGGAACCCCAAACTTTAAACTTTCCATTACTGAATTCCATCCACAGTGACTCACAAAGCCACCAATGCTTGAATGGGTTAAAATTCTTGCCTGTGGAGCCCAGCCCTCCACAACCATTCCTCTCTCTCCTAACCTCCCAAGAAAGCCCTTAGGCAGTGCTTCTTCAATCTCAACTTTCTCTCCCACGGGAAACCTAACAACCCATATGAAATTAACCTTGCTAAGCTCTAAACCATGAGCTATCTCTTCAATCTCATCCTTGGACATAAAAGACTCACTGCCGAAGGAAACAAACACAGTTGAGGACTCATCTTTGTTGTCAAGCCATTCGATGATCTCAGTGTGGTCGTCCTCATCGTCAATTTCTCGAACAAGAGAACCAGCAGGGACGATCTTCTTCTCAACTAAAGCCGCCAGATAATCAACATACTGTCCTTCCAGCTCTCTGAAAGTGTGGAACAAAATAATGTTGCAAGATCGTTTCATGGCATCTAGAGGACCCTCTTTGTTTTTGGCTCTGTTTGCAGCAGTCTTGATCATGTTGCCAAACTGCATTTTGTGGAATCCCTGAAGCTGAATTGCTGGAAATGGGAATTCAACACCGCCTTTCATACGCAAGTGAAGAGTAAAAGATGGCATCGTAACTCCGCTAGGTATGAAATCAACCGCTGGAATATTATAGGAGGAGGCAATGGTTGGTGCCCATGGCTGGTTGAAGTCATAAATAAGCAAGTCTGGGCTTAGTGTTTTGAGGATGTTGGTGAAGCTTGGGATTGCCATCTCAAAGGCTGTTTTGAGGGTAGGGATGAGATGGTTTGGGAGGCCATTGGTGGTGTGGTTGTGAGGAGGAAGCTCAGGCAAGGATGGAAGGTGGATTTCTACTAATTCAATAGAATGAGAGTACTTTTCAGTGATTCTTTTCTTGATGGAATTGAGATTGATTGGTGTAGAACACAAATATATGTACAAGTTTCTGTGTGAGAGTTTCTTGGCAAGCTCTAGGAAGGGAGAGATGTGACCATGGGCCAACCATGGTAGCATTAGGACACTAGCAATGCTCTGTTTTGTATCCATTATGTATCTCTCTGTTTTGGCCTCTAGTTTGGTGATTGATTATCAATACAACAATCTCTCTGTTTTGGCCTCTGGTTTGGTGATTGATGATCAATACAACAATTGTTGTTTAGGTCAATCATATATATATATAGGCATTTAGACGATCATTGTGAATGAAGGTGAAGACACGTGAAAATGGGAGGCGGATGCGGAAATCTAGTAATATAAAAACTCGAGGAGGGGAGAGAGAAGGCTGTGGTGTCGTGGTTGCGTATGGATTTTGAAATAAGATATCAAATATACATGTGTGAGACTCGCATGAGTCTCATAGTTTTAAATTTTTTTTTATGTACTTAGAACATCATTTGAACAATGTCATTTAAAAATATGTTTTCTCTTTTTAGTTGCAACAAACATATAGATTAAAAAGTTAATTTTTTGATTTTTTTTGAAAAAATATATAAAAATAAATAAAAAAGTGATGTGACTTAAAAAAAGTTAAAAAGTCAAAAAAATGATTTTTAGCTAAATTGCCAAAACAAGTCACACTTTACATGACCCTGTTTGGTAGGGCTTATTTCTAGTTTATTTCAGTTTTTAGCTTAATTTAAGCTATTTTGATGTGTTTGGTTCAGCTTAACAATACAACTTATAACTTTTTATAAGTCAAAAATCAACTTATTCTTTGAGTGGAGGAGGAGAAACTTAATTTATAAGTCAAAAATCAGTTTATGTTCACAGTTATAAGTTATAAACTGTTTGGGTATAAGTTATAATTACTTTTCCACCGCTCTACTAAACGGGGTCATGGTATGATGTACCATATTAATAAGTTAGAACAAATTGACAAGGATTAAAAAAAAAAAAAAAAAAATCATGGAGAAAGCAACAAATATATGGCCTGGTATGGGAAGTGGTTACTTTTTTTTTTAGACTTTTTGGCTATTTAATTATTTTATTAGGCTCTTTTAGTTTGTGTATTTGAAAAAATGAATTGAAGTATTTTTAAATAATTGTATAGGAAAAATGTTTGATACGATGTTTTGTTCTGAAATGACCAAACTGCCCCTACATAACAGAGCTGTCATGTTCGAATATTGGCATTTGGCTTGCTGACGTGGGACGGAAGGATTTTGCACATCATCATTTTTTTTTCTTCAAATTTTAAACAGTGCTAACGGCTTCAATTGCTGAACTGGGGCAAAAAATTTGAAGGATTGTGAATTGGGTGATTTGAATTGTAATTTTTAACGCCTACACAAAGGAAAAAATATATATATATTGTAAAACTTGTAAGGGGATGTTTGGGTGTCCTAAATAAGTATATTTTTGACTTTTGGGACTAAAAAGTAGGGGAAACAAGATGGTTGTTTTGGATAAATTTTTATCTTTTTACGAAAAAATGTATATTAAAATATTATATAAAATAACAAAATTGCATTTTTACCCCTACGTTCTAGACTCATCAGTGATAGTGAGAACCGTACGGAATGGTTGAAATTGTGAGAAGAATCTGAACCATATGCATATATAGCATGAGACTTCACGGGTACTGTTGGGCCCGTGAGGGTCCACCACAAGACCCGTTTCGATAATCCAAACCGTTGAATGTGTAGAATTCGTTGAATACTATATGCCTGTAAAAAATCACCTTGATTGGATATCGATAGCTGTGTGATCCAAACTGTTTTGTATGAGAAAAATGGACGGTAAAAAATAAACGACTGAAAAAAATCTAATTTGACGATATAGCTATCCATATCCGATCAATGTTATTTTTTTCAGGCATATAATATTCGACAAGTTCTACACATTGAGTGGCTTATATTATTGAAACGGGATCCGTGGTGGAACTCCACGGGCTCAACAATACCTTCTAACTTAATGAATATATATATATATATATAATTTTTTTGTCTATCATCTCAACATAAATTTCTCATCACTTCAGTACCAACACTGTGTAGCTTTTTGGAATGTACTAATATTGTGAAAATTAATTTTTTTTTATATTTTTAATTTATGAATAATGATAACTTTTTTACTTTTTGAGTAACTTTTTAATTTTTGAACTTTTTTTTAACATGCCAAACTAGCCCTTAATTACATATATCAACAAACCTTCAGCCATTTTTTAAACCTTACCCATTAATATAATTTATAAATTTTAAAAATTTATAAATTATTAATAGTCATCAATTTATAAATGGTTGTCTCAGTTTATTGGTAACCGAGCTATCAATGATTTTTTTTTTCAAAAACTTTTTTTTTCAATTAATTATTTTTTCAAATAAATTTTTTGTCCATTAAATTTTTTTCCAATAATTTTGTTTTCAATTAATTTTTTTTTGAATTATTTTTTTTTTCCAATTATTTTTATTTCAACTATAATGTGTATGGTCCCATTGTCATAAATAATAAAAATTAAATATAAATATTTTAAGCCTGAACGCGAACTCTTTTTTTAGTTGATGTTTTAAAAAAATTTCAAACATTTTGTTCAAACCTCTTTTTTTTGTAGTTTATGTTTTTGTACAAATAAACAAAAATCAATTTATAAAATTATTAAAATTGTCAAAAATTTTAATTGGTACCAAAAAAATGATGAACTAAAAAAAAAAAATGCAAGTCTTTGTTATGAAATTGGACTGTGCATCAAATATCGAAGGCATCCGCTAGGTTCAAAATTGAATTAAACTAAAGTTCAATCTAGGCAAATAAAATTTATAAGTATGTTACAAACGTCTACACAACTGAAGTTCGAATATTATGCATTACAAACAGTTTCATAAGTCCAATGGCTTGCTACGTGGGTCACATTGCACAACATATTTCCACATCGAAAACAGTTCTTCGTCGGTCGCATTGTGTGGAAGGTAGAACTCAGCCAGAGATAAGTCTACCGGAGAGAGAGATCGGTCAGACGAACTCGTGTCTCTTCAGTCCATTGTGAGAGACGCAAGAGATAAGATAGGGAAGAGGCGTGAAATGAGCTGTGGGATAGATGCAATCTGTATACCCAATTTGAAATAGTCAAAGGGCAAAATGGTAATTGTACCTCATAATGTAACCCAACTGTACAAACAGCCACACTATTGAAACTTTTTGACTATTTTCATATATGAGGTTACAATAGCCTCAACTTTGTTTTCCCAAATAACGCTTATATATTTTACTTGGTTGGATAATACCGGATTAATAAGTTATAACAAAACAACAAATTAAGTTGATCTATACGTGATGTATCACTTCCTGCGGATTTATCATTTTATTATATTATTAATGTTCTTTTTGGTCATGAACTAAAACTACCTCATATGAGTCAGGCACAGATGGAATTTATTTATTTTTCTTAAACGAAAAAAAAAAAAAAATTGATTGGTGCAGAATACAAATGTATGTAGAAGTTTGTGTGTGTGAGTTTCTTGGCAAGCTCTATGAAGGGAGAGATGTGACTATGGGCCAACCATGGTAGCATTAGGACACTATCAATGATCGGTTTTGTATCCATTATGAGGATGTTTGGAAAATTATTATTTTAGTATGTTATTTTAGTTTTTGATTATTTTAGTAGGTTAAAATTTTTAATTTAGAAAGATAGTTGAATTTTTTTGTAGTTAGATGTGATATTTGTGGGAGAAAAAGTGAAATGATTATGAATTAAATGTGATATTTTATTTTTTTAATTATTTTAACATATTTTATCATTTTATAAATTTTAACCCAAAAAATCAAAAAAGTCTTTGCGTGTCTCTCTGTTTTGGCCCCTGGTTTGGTGATTGACTGTCAATAAAACAATCTCTCTGTTTTGGTCTCTGGTTTGGTGATACAATAATTATCGTTTAGGTCAATGATAAATACATGCATTTATATGATGACGATGTTTATGAATGAAGACACGCGAAAAGAGGAGGCAGATGCGTGACCCATTGGGAGTTGATTATTTTTTTTAACTTTTTGATTATTTAATTATTTTAGACTTCGTTTGGGAAGCCATAGTTTGGGTTTTTTTGGTTATTTTAGTCACAAAAAATAAAATAAGCTATTTTAGCCATAACAAACAAAATATCACATCCAACCCATAATCATTACATTCTTCTCTCACAAAAAAACTCAAAAAAGTCAAAAAGTCAAAAAGCCTTTCCCAAACCAAGCTTTTAAGCCCAGGCTAAAATAGTCAAAAAAACTAAAAAACCAAAAAGTCAACCCACTTCCCAAACGAAAGCTTAATATGTTATTTTAATTTTTATGTTTAGAAGATGGGTTGGATTATTATTAGATTGATATATTGGAAAATATATTTGAAATGATGTTAAATCTATATTATTAGATATATAACCAAATGTAGTTGTTAAGTCAAAAAGTTTCAAAACTTGAATCCTAAATTCTCATAATTTTGAAAGAAAAAAAATATTATGTGGCATTGTCTTTCACCTCTCTTTTCACTCTTCAAGCCTTTTCACTCTCTCTCTCCCTATATAAAATATTAAAATATTCATTCATATCCATCACAAACATATCCATAAAAAGCTATAAAAAAAAAATCAAGACTTTCACTCTCCCACAACTCCTACAATAGATACATATCCCTCTCCCACGTTATTCTCCCACCTCGAACAAATTTAAAAACAACAAACACCCATCTATCCATATCCTTATAACAGATAGATATAAAGACTTTCACTCTCCCACAACTTCTACAATAGATACATATCCAAGATATAGATATCCCTCTCCCACGTTACTCTCCCACGTCAAACAAATCTAAAATATACTTCATTAACTTCCTTCTTCAGCAGTGAACATCAGCAGTCCCCGAATTCAGCAGTCCGCCTCTCGATCGAATGCATGTCTCGGTTCTTCTTTTTCTTTTTCTTTTGCTTTACTAATTTAATTTTTGTTCCAACCATTTGTGATTTTGTATTTTGACTATAAATATTGCACCATTTGCGATTTTGTATTTTCATTATAAAGATTGCAGAAAAAGCAAATGTAATTTACCCATAACTTTACGTGCAGACATAGGCAGATTAGTCTAACAAATCCAGCTGCACTTACGGTTCAAAAATTACAAGCTTAGAATAACATGCGCATGGGCTGCTGAAGTTGCAGATTTTGAAACCACAAATCTTTTAAGTTTTAAGAGAATTTCAATCCAAACAACTTTCAAGCCCAATCTACAGATTCATTATGTTTATTCTCATTAATGGTGTACTTTTATTATTGACATGCCTTGAATACACTTGCACAAAGACACATTTTTGTATTTATTGAGAAAAGTATAGGTTTGATTTGCATTACGAATTTAAATAGTGTTCATA